ATTGTTAAATATGAATCATAGTTCCTATGAGAACTGTTACATTGTTTTTATAGCTTTATTTTGGTCATTTTGAAAACGTTTTGGTTTAGCCATGTTTGTTTGTTGTAGTACAGAGTTAGCCTGATAACTTTAATCTAAATTGTCTTATGCTTGTTACTGTTTGACTTGCATCCCACTGGGATTTTTGCACACAGCGTTGAAATACGGTGTTTTTTCTGGAAGACTTTGCTGTTTTTTCCTGGATTTTTTCTGTTGCGCGTCGTCACTTTAAGATGTTTCTTGTTCATGTTTTTGTTTGTTGCGGTTGCACCCGAGTCAAGAGCCGCATTGCTCACAGGGTTATACCTAATAAATGGCACTGAAATGTAACTCTATGGATCTCTATGGCTCTCTATGTAACTCTATGGCTTTCTGTTTAATGCTATGTATTTCTATGTAACTCTATGTAACTTTATGGCTCTCTATGCAACATCTATGGATCTCTACGTAACTCTATGGCTCTCTGTGCCACTCTATGGCCCTCTATGTAAACACTCTATGGCCCTCTATGTAACCACTCTATGGCTCTCTATGCAACTCTATGGCCCTCTATGTAAGCACTCTATGGCCCTCTATGTAACCACTCTATGGCTCTCTATGCAACTCTATGGCCCTCTATGTAACCACTCTATGGCTCTCTATGTAACCACTCTATGGCTCTCTATGCAACTCTATGGCCCTCTATGTAACCACTCTATGGCCCTCTATGTAACATCAATGGATCTCTACGTAACTCTATGGCCCTCTATGTAACCACTCTATGGCTCTCTATGTAACATCTATGGATCTCTACGCAACTCTATGGCCCTCTATGTAACCACTCTATGGCTCTCTATGTAACATCTATGGATATCTGTGCAACTCTACGGCTCTCTGCGCAACTCAACGTCCTTCCGCCGCTACCGCCACTGCTGCGACGATCCGTGGTGGTGGAGGCGGGGGGGTGTTGGGGGCTGCCGTGGTCGCCAAGGTGACGAAGGGGGGGCGACCCCCAGCTTATCTCAGCCTGAGATAACAGCACCCCCCCCCCTGGCCCCTCTGAGAAAGTAGGGGAGGGGGGGCGAACGGGAACACGGCGTGCGCTAGCTGGGGGAGATTTTAGGGTACGCCGACCTTGTCCACTCGCTGGTGGTCGTCACTGCTCGTTATATAAGCTCCCGGGGGCATTGGGCCCGCGAGTTATGGGGGACAGGGGGAGGCGCACGCAGATAACGGCTGCCACGGAACAGCAGAATCGATGTTGTGAACTTCTTTGGCACCGTACATAGCCAACCGTTCTCATTGGAGGTGTGCACAGTGCCGAGAAAAAGTTTGTGAACCCCAAAGATAATTATGGGAATTCCATAATTTTACCATGATAGCCTTCTTGAATCAAAACTGGTCTTTTCTTAAATATCCAAAAGATTTTATATTCACCAATTCCATGTCTTTTGACACGAAATTACGTATGAATTAAACAACGAGTAATTAAGGTTCAGAGTATTTAAAACAGGAAATTAACCCCTGGTTTCATTAGCTCAATTAAGGGAATACAGTAATTAGAATTTGGTGTTTAAATAATTAGATACATCTTCAGCGGAGCGTTTGGGATGCCCACCCTATATAAAGATTAGAAAGTTTGTGGGTTTGGTCTTCACCATACAGGTGCGTGTGGAAACAAAGTCATGCCACGATCACAATAAATGTCTGAGGATCTCAGAATAAGAGTTATTGATGCTCATCAGTCCAGAAAGGATTACAAACCCATGCCTAAGGATTTGGGGCTCCACCAATCGACAGTCACACAGATATTCTACAACTGGAGAAAGTTCAAGACCAGAGTCACTCTACCCAGAAGCCGTCGTGCTACCAAAATACAGTGAGGGGAAAAAAGTATTTGATCCCCTGCTGATGTTGTACGTTTGCCCACTGACAAAGAAATTATCAGTCTATATTTTAATGGTAGGTTTATTTGAACAATGAGAGACAGAATAATAACAAGAAAATCCATAAAAAACGCATGTCAAAAATGTTATAAATTGATTTGCATTTTAATGAGGGAAATACGTATTTTGACCCCCTCTCAATCAGAAAGATTTCTGGCTCCCAGGTGTCTTTTATACAGGTAACAAGCTGAGATTAGGAGCACTCCCTTTAAGAGTGTGCTCCTAATCTCAGCTCGTTACCTGTATAAAAGACACCTGTTCACAGAAGAAATCAATCAGATTCCAAACTCTCCACCATGGCCAAGACCAAAGAGCTCTCCAAGGATGTCAGGGACAAGATTGTAGACCTACACAAGGCTGGAATGGGCTACAAAACCATCACCAAGCAGCTTGGTGAGAAGGTGACAACAGTTGGTGCGATTATTCGCAAATGGAAGAAACACAAAGGAACTGTCAATCTCCCTCGGCCTGGGGCTCCATGCAAGATCTCACCTCGTGGAGTTGCAATGATCATGAGAACGGTGAGGAATCAGCCCAGAACTACACGGCAGGATCTTGTCAATGATCTCAAGGCAGCTGGGACCGTAGTCACCAAGAAAACAGTTGGTAACACACTACGCCGTGAAGGACTGAAATCCTGCAGCGCCCACAAGGTCCTCCTGCTCAAGAAAGCACATATACATGCCCGTATGAAGTTTGCCAATGAACATCTGAATGATCCAGAGGACAACTGGGTGAAAGTGTTGTGGTCAGATGAGACTAAAATGGAGCTCTTTGGCATCAACTCAACTCGCCGTGTTTGGAGGAGGAGGAATGCTGCCTATGACCCCAAGAACACCATCCCCACCGTCAAACATGGAGGTGGAAACATTATGCTTTGGGGGTGTTTTTCTGCTAAGGGGACAGGACAGCTTCACCGCATCAAAGGGACGATGGATGGGGCCATGTACCGTCAAATCTTGGGTGAGAACCTCCTTCCCTCAACCAGGGCATTGAAAATGGGTCGTGGATGGGTATTCCAGCATGACACTGACCCAAAACACATGGCCAAGGCAACAAAAGAGTGGCTCGAGAAGAAGCACATTAAGGTCCTGGAGTGGCCTAGCCAGTCTCCAGACCTTAATCCCATAGAAAATCTGTGGAGGGAGCTGAAGGTTCGAGTTGCCAAACGTCACCCTCGAAACCTTAATGACTTGGAGAAGATCCGCAAAGAGAAGTCGGACAAAATCCCCCCTGAGATGTGTGCAAACCTGGTGGCCAACTACAAGAAACGTCTGACCTCTGTGATTGCCAACAAGGGTTTTGCCACCAATTTCAAAGTCATGTTTTGCAGAGGGGTCAAATACTTATTTTCCTCATTAAATGCAAATCAATTTATAACAGTTTTGACATGCGTTTTTCTGGATTTTGTTGTTGTTATTCTGTCTCTCACTGTTCAAATAAACCTACCATTAAAATTATAGACTGGTCATTTCTTTGTCAGTGGGCAAACGTACAAAATCAGCAGGGGATCAAATACGTTTTACCCTCACTGTATATACAGTATGAAGAAGGCCCCCTGCCCGAAACGTCGCCTATTATATATATGTTTTTCTATGGCCACGCGAGCGTTATTGATGGGTTTTTTTTTATATCGCAGTGGAGTCACCCCCTCCCCACAACTACTCTGTCTACCCTGCAGGGGCGCCACGGTGGCTAGGAGATGTTAACTACCTCGCCTGGTATACAGGAGGTCGTGGGTTAGAGTGTATGGGGTGCCATGGTGGTGAGCTGTTAACTACCTCGCCTGGTATACAGGAGGTCGTGGGTTAGAGTGGATGCGGTGCCATGGTGGCGAGATGTTAACTACCTCGCCTGGTATACAGGAGGTCGTGGGTTAGAGTGTATGGGGTGCCATGGTGGTGAGCTGTTAACTACCGAGCCTGGTATACAGGAGGTCGTGGATTAGAGTGTATGGGGTGCCATGGTGGTGAGATGTTAACTACCCCGCCTGGTATACAGGAGGTCGTGGGTTAGAGTGGATGGGGTGCCATGGTGGTGAGATGTTAACTACCTCGCCTGGTATACAGGAGGTCGTGGGTTAGAGTGGATGCGGTGCCATGGTGGCGAGATGTTAACTACCTCGCCTGGTATACAGGAGGTCGTGGGTTAGAGTGTATGGGGTGCCATGGTGGTGAGCTGTTAACTACCGAGCCTGGTATACAGGAGGTCGTGGGTTAGAGTGTATGGGGTGCCATGGTGGTGAGATGTTAACTACCCCGCCTGGTATACAGGAGGTCGTGGGTTAGAGTGGATGGGGTGCCATGGTGGTGAGATGTTAACTACCCCGCCTGGTATACAGGAGGTCGTGGGTTAGAGTGTATGGGGTGCCATGGTGGTGAGATGTTAACTACCGAGCCTGGTATACAGGAGGTCGTGGGTTAGAGTGGATGGGGTGCCATGGTGGTGAGATGTTAACTACCGAGCCTGGTATACAGGAGGTCGTGGGTTAGAGTGGATGGGGTGCCATGGTGGTGAGATGTTAACTACCTCGCCTGGTATACAGGAGGTCGTGGGTTCGACCTCGACCCCGATGCCTGCTGTAGATTTGGAGTTTGGGTTCCTCTCTCTCCCCGTGGTGGCGTATATTTTTCTCTGGGTCCTCATCACAACGCAATATATGGATCTCTACGTGAGTATGTGGCTCTCTATAAGAGTATATGGGTCTCTATGTGAGTCTGTGGGTTTCTATGCGAGTCTATGGGTCTCTGAGTCACTGGTGACCGGGCTGAGACTCACCAATCCAGTTTAATCACAACTCGCATCAACGTGAGTCTGTGGCTCTTTAACACTGCACTTGAGACGCCGGATTTAACCGCAGCAGCCGTGCAGCTGAAACCTGGGCCTCGAACCCAGGGATCCTCAGCGGTGCCAGCTCAGCGCTGAGCCCCCGACCACCCCAACTGCTTATTTTTTCAATATTTTTCGGAGAACAAAAGCCGTTTTGTTGAAGCGCAGGGTTGAAATCTCGGCCAGGCGCAGGGAGAGCGCGCGACAACCCTTCCTGCAAGAGGCCCCCCTCGCGGCGGAGTGCCGCTGGCAGCCTCTCCCGACTCGGCGTGTTTACGCCGCAAAGCCCCTCGCGCAGTCGCAGGGAGGCATGGCTCCTGCCAAGTTTTTCCGCAATCCCGGGCAACGTTGCTGCTGCCGTTGCCGCTGTGCGATTCCCCAATTGAGTCATTTGCAGGTAACGTTTCAGCACAAGCATGTTTGGCCAATGCCGGTTACGTTGTGTGTCCATGTGCGTGTGTGTGGGGAGCGGTAGTGTAGCGGTTAGCGCGCTCCGCTACTAACGAACCCAGCGACTCGAGTTTGATTCCCACTCGCGGTCACCAACACCAGTGACGGGTCATTTCAACCGGTCCTGGGCCACCCCTGGGTCGACTCAGCCTCAAATGGAAAGCTGGTGCGGTGTGTAAACATCGCCGCGGGGAGACAAAGGCGGCCGGGCGTGGTGCTGCCCTCGTGCGCCGTAACCGGCCTTCGTAGGTGCTGCTCGCTAACAGCACTTGCCCCGACGAGCTCTTAAGGCCTTGACGGGGGGGGGGGGGGATCTTTGTCTTCTTTGTTGAGCTTTGGGGAGAATGCCCAAACCGCACACGGAGAGGCGTGCGAGTGGGAACACGAGCGGGCCCACCACGCCGCTGGCCCCCATTGGCCGAGTCCCAGCGGAGCGCCACTGCGTAGGGGCCGCACGGCTCCTCTCGATGTGTCTCCCGTGGGGGCGTGGGGCAAGAAGCTTCATGAGCTCGTGGGGAAAAAAAGTTTGAGATTTCCTCGATTCGATTAAAGGAACCGAAGCTCAAGAAGCTCCTCCCCCATGGATGGGGGGGGGGGGGGCACGAAACGTCGGGGGGCTCGACCCCAATGCGCTGTGGAAAGCCACGCGGCAGCAGCAGCAGCAGCGGCAGTAGCGGCAGCAGCAGCAGCAGCGGCAGCAGCGGCAGCAGCAGCAGCAGCAGCGGCAGCAGCAGCAGCAGCGGCAGTAGCGGCAGCCGGACCGCGAGCGCCTGCGCCCTTGGGGCGAGAGCGTACGTACAAAGACAAAGATCCACTTCTTCCCGTGTAGCCTCAGCAGGCTGTTGGGGCAAGTGCTGTTAGCGAGCAGCACATATGAAGGCCGGCACGGCACACGAGGGGGTGTGTGGTCAGCACACCACGCCCACCCGCCTTTGTCTCCCCAGTGGCGATGATTAAACATCGCACCAGGTGCTCATTTCAAGCTGAGTCGACCTAAGGGAGGCCCAGGACCGGTTCAGATAATCATCACTGGCGTTGTCCGTGAGCGGGAATCGAACTCGGGTTGGCGGGTTCGTAGCGCAGCGCTAACCGCTGCACCACCGCTACGGAGTCCATCGTTCGTGCGCGCACACACCGTACGTACAGGCGGCCGGACGGAGCCTGGCTGCTCCTCCAGCCCCCGGCACGGACGGCGAGAAGCGGCGCGGCCGTGCCCATCGTGCAGAGGGTGGTTGGGGGGTCCCACGTGGTTTAGATTGGGAAGCGAACGGTGCCGATTGTGGTGGTGGTCAATCCAGCGCCGTGTCCCCCCACTCCCCGCCGGCACCGCGCGCCGCTGGCCGGACCCAGCTGAGCGAGCGCCACGGGGGGGCGGCGGTTTGGCACCGGACTTTCCTCAAGTGCACCTCTGGCTTGCGTCGAAACGAAGCGCCGGGTGGGTGGGCGAGTACGTGGGTGGGTGGCTGGGTGGCTGGGTGGCTGAGTGGGTGGGTGGCTGAGTGGGTGTCTGGGTGGCTGGGTGGCTGAGTGGGTGGGTGGCTGAGTGGGTGGGTGGGTGGCTGAGTGGGTGGGTGCCTGGGTGGGTGGCTGGGTGGGTGGCTGGGTGGGTTGCTGAGTGGGTGGCTGGGTGGATGGCTGAGTGGATGGCTGGGTGTCTGAGCGGGTGGCTGGGTGGGTGGGTGGCTGGGTGGGTGGCTGAGTAAGTGGGTGGCTGGGTGTCTGAGTGGGTGGGTGGCTGAGCGGGTGGGTGGCTGGGTGTCTGGATGTGTCTGTTTAGAGTATTTTACTGCTATACATTTCCACACGATACGCCACTTCATTGTGATATCATTTGTGAGAGCCAGGTCACTTACAAAATACAGCTATATAGGTCAGTGAGCCTTACCTGGTCAAATAAAAATATGTTTTATTGAGTCTTTCGTACCGTACGTAGCCAACCGTGCCAATAGGAGGTGTTGGGGAGAAAATTGCAAACTCTGGATTGCAACTTCACCATCCCCGAGTTAAAGAAGGCTGCGAATCTTGTCGTGAGAAGTCCGTTCCATGAGGTCCCATAATGAAGAAGTCCGTTCCGTCGTCCCAGATGTTATGTATATCGTTTAATGTAAAAGTTTAAATCACAGTTCCTATGATTACTGTTGTTGTTTTTATAGCTTTATTTTGGTGATTCGAAAACATCTGGTTAATCTAAATTGTCTTATGGTTGTTGTTGTTGGCTTGCACCACTTTGTGATTTTTGCACACAGCGTTTAAATATGTTTTTTAAATATTTGCTGGTTTATTTCAGGATGTTTCTGTTGCGCGTCGTCGCTTTGGGATGTTCTGTGTTCATATTTTGTTTGCTGCGGTTGCACCCGACTCAAGAGCCGCATGGCTCACAGGGCTATACCTAATACATGAAACTTGAAACTTGTGTGTCCCCTACACCCCCCATTTGGTTTGACTCTGGCCGGTTCTCCCCCTGCCCCGTGCTTCGGTCTCTCTCTCTCTCTGGTGCAGGGCCGTGCTGCAGTCAGCGCCTCCCCACGTGGTTTAAATAAGCGGCGGTCTCTGTTCGCATCGCGTCATCAAGCCAGGTCCACTGTGCACTGCGTGAACCGTCTCCCTCCTCTCTCATCGCTTTGTGTTCATTGTCCCTGGCTACCGCGTGCGTCTGTTGTGTTTACCCTCGGTTACAAAGATAAAAGTTGCCCATGCAGCAATTCTATTGTTTGTAAAAAAAAAGTTGTAACAATCTTTTTTTTATAATAATCACCCATTGCTCTGACTGCTTTGGATGGGGAATACACCGAGCGCGAGTGAAGTCACGCGGCGGTGCTGGAGGAGCTGCTGGAGGAGGAGAATGGGAAGAATGGGAAGTGAAACCAGAGAGAGACAGAGAGACGATGTCTCTCTCTCTCTTGGCATGAAAGGGGAAGCCAGTGGGCACAGGAGGGATACTCGCGCGCGGCGTGCGATCTGATGAGACAACGTGGAAAAGATTACGCATCACATTTCCACCCCCACCCCCGCCCACGACCACGACGCCAATTTTTCGTCCGCCCGCCTGTAACCAGCACGCCGCGGCCGCGGGTCTGGTTTTCATTTCTGCGCGAGACTTCTCTTTCTTTTTTTTGCCCAAGCAGCACGGGGAGCCGCGTGGAGCCGAGAGAGCGAAGCGACGCCACGAGGCGCCCGTTAGAACGAGGCCGGCGGAGCGTGTGGGCGATAGATCACAGCGGCAGCGGCGGCAGCGGCAGCAGCAGCGGCAGCAGCAGCAGCGGCGCAGCTCACAAACAGGGGGCCCATTGTGCGCACGCACGCCGGCGGGAACGCGCCAGCGCGCGCGCTCTCCCAAACGATCCCTCCCATGACCTAATGAGCCCCCCCCCCCCCGAAGGAAACTATTACTCACGAGCCAGCGGGCGGCTGCAGTCCCCAGGCCCCGTATCGAACAAAAACACCGCCGGGTGCCACCTTGGCAACTGAGGGTGCGCCGCGCGCCGCGGCAGCGTAAATCGCTTCCACCTTGCTGCGCCCGACGTCGCTTCCTCTCCCCGGCGCTCGGTGATTAGCCCCCCCCGCCCCCCCCCCGCCACGTGCGAGCTGCACGCACGGAGCGAGCATGGAGACGTTTTAGGTTTCCAGGTTTGTTCGGTTTTCGTGGGTTCAGTGAAATTGCCCGCGGCGGGCTCTCTGGTCGCCAAACGCCGGTGCTCCAGGCGGGCCCTATCCGTGCCCAGTGCACACGTCTATGTCTGTATGTGTGTGTGTGTCTCTGTGTGTGTGTCTCTGTGTGTGTGTGTCTCTGTGTGTGTGTGTCTCTGTGTGTGTGTCTCTGTGTGTGTGTCTCTGTGTGTGTGTGTCTCTGTGTGTGTGTGTCTCTGTGTGTGTGTGTCTCTGTGTGTGTGTGTCTCTGTGTGTGTGCGTGTGTGTGTGAACTTTTGTCGCACCGTACGCAGCCAACCATTGCGGGGGAAGGACAACAAACTACACATGATTAGCACGGTTGGGTTCAGTAAGGTGTGAAAGAAGTTCGACACATGTACAAACACACTCACCCACACACTCGCCCACACACTCACCCACACACTCGCCCACACACTCACCCACACACTCGCCCACACACTCACCCACACACTCGCCCACACACTCACCCACACACTCGCCCACACACTCACCCACACACTCGCCCACACACTCGCCCACACACTCACCCACACACTCACCCACACACTCACCCACACACTCGCCCACTCACCCCGCACCTGCGATGATCACAGTTTGGCTGAGTACGGTACGAAAGAAGTTGAACATACAAACACAAAAGGCAGTTGCAAGTAAATGAGTTTTCAATCTAGATTTAGAATGGATATCTGCAGTCTCCTTCTTCTGTAGGGCTGCCGATGGAGATTTGGGACCAATGGCCACAGTTTCACATCCAGGGGGTCACGCCAGCAGACAACCGCGTCAAGAGCAGCAGCGGAGTAGTTGCGTCATCGCCGTCGCTGCGATGTCGCCTTCGTATTTGTGGATCGGGTATGTTGAGCAAACGCGAAGGGGACATGACAGCGACGGTGATGATGCTACACCACCACTCCTCCACTCCTAACGCGGCGATCTCTGGCCTTGACCACCTCAATGTGAAATTGCAGTTGCCGCTGTGCGTCTACATCCAGTGGCTTCCTAACATCGGAAGAAAGAGCGTTCCAGACGGCAACAGAAGCAGCGCATCCGATCATCTCCAATGCCCCCCCCCCCCCCATGCGCTCAGGCGCCTGCACTCTGACTGCTTAGTGGCACGAATAGCAAATCGTGATGATGACGATGATGGTTGATTCTGGCTCACGGCCAACCAGTCCTAGGCCTTCCTTAGATCGACTCAGCCTCAAACGAGTACCTGGTGTGGTGTTTAAACTTCGCCACTGGGGAGACGAAGGCAAGCCGGTCGTGGTGCTGGTCACCCACCCCCTCAGGTGCTCGCTAACAGCACTTTCCCCAAGAGTCTGTGAAGGCATACGGGGATCTTTGTCTTTGGGTATGTATGTATGTTGAACTTCTTTTGCACCGTGCATAGACAACCATGCTAATCGGAGATTCGGGGGTGAGTGGGTGAGTGAGTGGGTGGGTGAGTGTGTACGTACATATGTACATTGAACTTCTTTCACACCGGACATAGCCAAACATCCTAATCGGATATTCGGGGGTGAGTGGGTGCCGGATGGAAACACTGGTGGATGCGAGCAATCCAATAGGAGGAACGGCCAGTTCCATTCGGCTTTTCCACTCATGGCGCTTGTAGCCACCACAGTGGTCGGGTGCGAAGGGCTGGTAACCCCTTCACCTTCAATTCAAGTACCACAAAAATACGCATTAAAATCTAACGAAGCTTGTGCCGGAGGACCCAGGGGGACAGACATCTATGACATTTCCTGGCCAAACTCCAATTGGCAGAGCCAGGAGTCTGAATCCTTACCCTCGGGGTTCCTCCAGAAGCAGCAAAAAGCCACTATGAGTGGCCACGTGGAATTTTCGAATACTCACTGTGGAGGAGAGGCTGCCACTCCTCTGTCAGGAGCCAGACCGGTACCGCCTGGATCTCTGTGGTATTCAGGAGGTCCGTTAGACTGGCTCTGGCTCCAGTCACCATGAGGGGTGGACAGTCCTCTACATAGGGCAGGAGACTGCCAAACAACAGGGAGTGGCTCTTCTTCTGAACAAAATAATAAGCGGGGCATGGGAGTGTGACGGTGAGGTATGGAAAGCTGGTAGTCCAAGGCTACTTTGAGCTCACCTTCCCATCCGCCAGAGGTGAGGAGTGGTCGTGGTTACTTATGCTTCCACTCAAGATGAACATCAGTGGAGGAATGCAGGCAAGGCCGATGAGTTAGATGCCTTCTATGACCTCCTGTCACAGGTGCTAGCTAAAATGGCCCCTCAGAATAGAATCATCCAGCTGAGTGACTTTAATGCCCAAGTTGGTCATGATGCTGGCACCTGGGCCAGATCAACTCAATAACAATGGTAAGAGCCTGCGAGACTTCTGTGCAACCCATGGGCTCGTAATTACCAACACGCTGTTCCAGCATCGGCGCATCTACACAACATCATGGATGCATGCCGGATTCAAGCAAGAACATCCAATGGACTACATAGTGACGTAACAGCGGATGCGGGCCCATGTCCTTGACACCAGGACCTACCGTGGAGCTGATCTGCCCACTGACCATCGGCTTGTCATCTGTAAGATGCGCCTGCCATTTTTACACTCCAGTGGTGGGTGTACATCTAGGACCTCATTCAAACCACAGTGGCCTAGTTTCATCTAGCTGATGAAAGTTGCAAGTGAGAATTTCATTATCGCTTGCGGCTGGGGTTGGCATCGTCCCCCCTCCTCCAGATGCTGAGGGGAAATGGGCGAGGTTTAGGGCTGTGGTTCATGCAGCTGCAATGGCGGCTTTGGGTACACGGTCCAAACCTCCCCAGAGACCCTGGCTGATGGAGGAGGTGTTCAGGCTGGCTGAGAAACACGACAGGCCCACTCCCACTATCTACAGCATCCCAGGTCAGAGAATGAGGAGGCTTACCGCAGCCTTCGCTCATAGGTTCGGAGAGCCATGCAGCACTGCAAAGATGGGTGGTGGTCGCGGGTTGCTGAGGAGATGGAGCCTGCCTCAGCAGCCCGCAATCACAAATCAATCTTTAACTCCATCAAAAAAGTAACTTGCAGTGCCACACCTGTTACCAATCTTAGGGGAAAAAATTGATCCGATCCCCGACCCCCAGGGAGAGGTTTGCAGATTTGCTGAGCATTTCTGTGACGTCTTGGGGAAGGTGAAACCCCTCACCCTGGAAAACATCATGGGGAAAAGTGGGGATGACCCTGCTGAGGCTGCGGTGGACTGGTTCCACAGGATTGGAAGGATTCCCTGGTTGTCTACCTTTTAAAAAAAGTGGGACTGCGCAGACTTAATCAACTTCAGCGGCATCTCCCTCCTCAATGTGCCGGAAAGGATTATTCAACATCGCCTTGCCAGGCATGCATCTTTGCTTTATTGACCTGATCAAGGCCTATGATACCATGAAAAGGGCTGGGCTGTAGGTTGTTCTTCGTGCTTTTGGAGGTCCTGACTTTCTGCTCACAATTATTAACGACCTTCATGATGGTGATTAGGCCCAGGTAAAACTACGTGGCCAGGAGTCAGAGCCATTCCCTGTTCACCTTGGGGTGTGACAGCGATGCACTCTGGCCCCCACAATTATTTAACATATTTTTCGACCATGTAGTTCGTGCAGCCTTATATGGCTGTAATGGAGGAAACTCCATCTGGTACAGATACAATGGGAGGGTGATCGATGCCCGGGCGTGGTCAAGGAATGGCTCCCTATTGCTCAACCATGTTATGTATGCTGATGATCTGGTGGTTGCTGCTCACTCAGCAGCCACCAGAGCGTGTCACTAAGAGGTGGGGCCTTATGATCAGCCCCACCAAACCTAAGCACCTGCCTGGGTTTTTTGTACCATTAAACACTCCACCCCTTCAACTCCCCATTGGTGATGAGGCAGTTGTGGAGGGACTGGAGAGTTTTCCATACCTGGGCAGTGTACTTATGACCAGCTCAAGTTTGACACCAGAGGTCTCACTCTGAATAAGTCGAGTGGCATTATCTTTTCATCGGCTGCATAACGTTGTGTGGAAGCTACCCAGTCTGTCACTCCACATGAAGCTTCGGGTTTTCTCGGTCACGATCATGCCCTCCCTTCTCTATACTTGCAAAACGTGGGCCCCCCTAATTGGACATCTTCGCCGGTGATAAACATTTAGGCTGGCCTGCCTATGATCCATCCTGGGTTAATTCAGCCTGGATTGTGTGAGGAGCTCACATATCCTTGAAAGATCAGGGCAAAGTCCCATCGGTGAGCTCCTCCGGTAGGCAAAGCTGCATTGGCTGAGTCATGTAGCCCGCATGCCCAGCCACCGCATGCCTAAACAGCTTTTATTCGGTCGGATAGAAGGGGTCAAACGGGCGTAGCATGAGCTAAAGAGGAGATGGAGTGAAGCGGTACAGGAGGACATGGAGCTGAGTGGATTTGGCGATGGCTGGTACCAGCGGTATCAAGATCGGCTACTGGGCACTTGGAGGCAATCGCCCTCCAGCAACATAGGAGGGCAGAGGAGCAATGCTCACAACAATGAGCGGAGCGCCAGGTGGCTAAAATGCAGCAAGTTGGCACAGTAGGGGGCATAGCTGGTGCATTGGCCAGTCATCTCAGTCTACCGATGGCATCTGGATCTGTCCCGTGACCTCCTGCCAGCAGGCGTTTGACACTTCATGTGGCCTTAAAGTGTACCTGGCCTGGCACAGGCATCTTGGTGACATCACCACCACTTAGTGGTGAATGGCGGTTGTTGTTGTTGTTGAATGGGTGGGTGAGCATGTATGTATGTTCAACTTCTTTTGTGCCGTATAT